TCTATAAATGTTACCTAGATTACCATGTTTAACTTAACTTTATTTGATATCTTGAGGATGTTTGCTTTGAATTGACAATGTTGATATCCTTGCCTGATATCTGTTAACTTGGATTCATTAATGTATTTTTGGACTCTATAAGAGATTTTTACCTATAAGATTTTTGCAAAGACATTGCATAAATGTTAAACATTTTAGGATTAAGTATCATGCATGCATCTTTATCTAGTTTAAAATATAGTGTTTTTTTTTTTCATATCCATCTTCTTACATGATGATAGAAGTTGTTGGCCTTTTAATCGCTGGCTAACTGACCCACTTGAGTTTGCTTGTACAAATCCTTTATTTAGACATCCATAAGTTATATAACTTGATTTTTTTAGCAACCAATACCTTTTTATTTTCTGAAAGAGGTTTATGTTTTACTAATCCATCTCAAAAGGACCAACTACCTTTTAAACATTACATCACTCTTTATCCTAACAATGCCCCCTCAAAAGTGTTTTGTTAGTGGCTTAGATAAATATGGCTTATAATAAATCCTTTCTCATGTCCTTTGGCTTGTTTTTTATAGGGAATCCTTTGCCCAAAATGATTTTTTTATAATTATGATTATCTTCTGTTTTAAAAATAAAAGTTATTTTGATATGTGCTTATAACAAGTTTTTTTTGGCATTTCTTACAATTTTTTAGAGGAAAAGTTATTTGTTTTTTATGTAGACTAATAAGATGATTTTTAATTTTATGTCAGTTTCAAATTTAAGAAGCTTCAGGAAATATTCAAGGTTTTTTAAGAAAATTCATCTAATAATGAGTAGAATATCCTACACAACCATAATTGTTTATGATAAAACTCTTTGTATTTTGAAGAAAGCCATTTATTGGTCACAATTGTGCTTCTTAATTATAAATGATTTAATAAAAATATGTAATACATGTTATAACTATCAAAGAAAAGGGTTTATAAATTTAAAGAATGTTAAAGGTTTCAAATACCTTATAAAGTACTTTCATTTGCTTGTTTTTCCAACTTTCTTTGTTGTGTTCAAATATCTTTCTTTAATTTGGACATGCCCCTTAATGTTGGGTTTCAAAGGCACTTTCCTTCAAGACTTAAATGGATGGTCTAATTACAATTTATTAGTGTTGATTTCTTGATAACTGATGGTTTTCTTTCCTCTTTTTTTTTAATTGATGTTTGCAGGTCTTGGAGAAGAAAAACCCCTTGTATAGGTGGAGGGAGATGCTGAAGCCTTGAGTTTTGAAGATAATACCATGGATGCTACACAATAGCATTTGGAATTAGTAATGCAAACACACAAAGAGAAAGTTCTTGTTGAAACGTATAGGTATTCTCATAATTTTATGGCTTTCTGTAGACTTATTCACCCAAATTGTATCAGACCCACTTGACATAAATTATAAATAGCAAGCTAAGCACCCTCTCATTAAGATTGTAAAATTGAACCATGACAAATAATCATTTTACCACTGCTGATGTGATTTCAAGTTGCTTTGTTTCAGACTTTTAAGGATGGCTTTGCTAATCAGAGGATCAGATTGATTGTCATGAATTAAAGGAAATGCAACCTTTTTCTTCTAAAACCAATGTTTATAACATATTTTGTCCAAGGAAAATGCATATAACAACTACATTTGTCCGCTATAATTGCAAAAAATTGCCATGAGCATACATATTATCGAGGTTAGTGAGTCAAGAAAGTTACCTGAATTTGAAACATGGACAATTACAAGTGGTGAGAAAGTTAAATATTAGATTTAAATTTTATGAGACCCAGTAACTACAAAGAGATCAGTTTTTAAAAGAGATGAGATAAAGCATGAAGCTAACAAGAAAATCATTTAGATGATGACTATGAACTTATTGACACAAGAATGTCTTGTTAAGTCTAAACTATGGCATAGTTAAGCTAGTTGTTATGTGTTTTCCATTCAATTAGTAAATATCTTCTCTTTTGATATGTATGATCAGCAAGTTGTTCTTCTGTTATATGGCCCGCTTTCTTTTTGCAGAAATTTTCCAGCTTGTGTAATATATATTAATGTTTCATGCAAGCTTTATCTTGAAAATAAGATATAAAATAAAAATTAAAACAGCTGGTGTATATATTTTATGCATGCAAGAGAGCATCTTATCCCCATATGTATACGGGTTATTGGATTATTGCTTTTTACATATTCCAAACATAAAGTTACACAAGATAGAATATTGTGATTTAATATGGCATGCAAGAGTGGTTTAATGATACATGGCTCAAGGTTATAAAATTCATTTTTTTTATTAAAAGAAAAAGAAAAAAGAAAAAAAATCTGCTCAGCTCATTTTTATTATATTTCAACTGCCAATAATGTTTTATTTATTTATTTATTTATTTATTTATTATAATAGATTGATTTATTAATGAAACATCCATTCAGAAAATGGTAGGGAGAAACACAATGAATTTAAGAAAAACTAAAAGAAAAAAAATTAAAAACAAGTCTAATTACAGTATATCAGCAACATCAAAATCTAATAAGCTTTATTCCTTGCACGTTTCCTGTCCATGCTTATTCAGAGATAAATGTTTTCAGCACTGCGAATGAAATCCAGTATAGGTCTTGATTTAGCTAGTCCTACCAGGTCTGGTTGTTAGAATTTGAGCCATAGTATTCAGCATTTTGCATTGCAGTTTTTGACTCAAGCTCATCATCTTGAGGCAGGAAGCCCGATATTTCAAGCTCGAGGCCAAGCATAAACACTTCAACAAATTATTAACAATCCAGGCAGAGAAATTATGTAGCTTCAATTCTTCACGTAGACTGGTTGTTACATCCCATTTCCCTTTCACTAAAATACATGCTCTTGTGATCTCATGTATCTAAGTTAACAGAAGCACTTGGGTAAAGTTTGACTACAGAAAGTATCATTTGAAAGATTTTTTCTGCTCAATAAACTGGAACCGATAAATCTGAACCCTACGTGTGAATCCCTGTGAGTTAGCTGACTAGAATGAAATTACCTAGCTGAGAGAGAAAGAGAGAGGAGAGGGAGACACGAGGAAAATGGACTGTGTAAGAGCTTATTTTGCACTTGCTCGTTGATAACCTGGGTTTATTTTGTGCATGTGTATCCTTAATGACTTATTGTAAATGATGGATGTAGGAGAAACTTGCTTTGATGATTGCAGATGCAGGATTTCAGAAGGTTGAGTATGAGAATCTTGTTTGGGGAGCTGTAGCCATCCATTCAGGCTTACATATATATATATGAAGGTGTTCGAGGACAAACCTTTTTTGTCTCAGATTTTTCATAAATAATTCATCTGCAGAGATTTTGTCAGCACACCTATTATCTTCTTTCTTGTCTATTTAGACATTAAATTCAGATGGCTAATGCATTTTTTGTTTAGTGTTGGTTGGAGTAACTGAGTTTTTAGCCTCCTCTTTGACTCTCTAGGCTTTTCTTTTCTTTTTCCCCTTCTCTCTTTCTGTTTTTTTTTTTTTCTAGTAGATATCTTGAACAATTTGATAAAAAAAAATAATGAAATTTTTTTAAAAAAATTAAATAGTTTCAAATAAAATAAATATTTATTAAAAAACAAGAATTGAATTTGAAATATAAAAAAAATTATAGAGATTAAATTGAAAAACATGTACTACGAAGAATGGTAGCTTAATGTTTAAGAATGGGTTAATGTCTGTTTATATGCTTTTAATTTTGCGTTTAAAGGTTTTATATACTATTTTTTGTATTAATTTCATCCTTGTAAGATACATAATTATCATCATTTGGCACTTTCGCCAATTAATATCATTAATATCGTAAAATAATAATACATGTCTACAGTTCAAGCCATGCAATATTTAATTTATATATATTTTTGTCCCTAAATGTTTAAATTTTTCAATGAGTATGCCTGTTTAAACTCGCTTAATTCTAACCTTTTTTATAAATTATAGAAGAAAAATATTATTAAAAAATAATAGAAAATTAAAATAAATTAAAAACACTTCAATGACCTAATAATAATTGTTATACTTTATTTTTCAAAAAAAAAAAAGTTTTCCTATAGTATCATAACTATAAAAATTTTATTTTGGTCCCACATTTTTATAGTTATGATACTATAGGAAAACTTTTTTTTTTTTGAAAAATAAAGTATAACAATTATTATTAGGTCATTGAAGTGTTTTTAATTTATTTTAATTTTCTATTATTTTTTAATAATATTTTTCTTCTATAATTTATAAAAAAGGTTAGAATTAAGCGAGTTTAAACAGGCATACTCATTGAAAAATTTAAACATTTTTCTTATAAATATGGTATATTTATAATCATAATTTTTACCAAATTTGAGATTTGACTTATACGGACTAAATTGAAAAATATTTTTGTTGAAAAGCATGCATGACCATTTTTGTTGCCTTGAGTAGGAGGGAGGTGCAAGCACCCATGCCATGACTAAGCATGGAGGTTTTTACTCTGGTTTTTCCTTTTAATTATTTATTTGAAAATCCAATGGCTTTCGTGGGTTTTCCTTTATTTTGGTTCTTTAATGCCTGGAGATGGGAAATTAACCGAAGAATTTGAGGGGATAATGCTTCATTATCTTTCTCGGCTTGGTCTTGCCTTGCTGCTACTAATCAAAACAATCCCATTTCAGGATCAATTGGCTCGCTATTGTATTTTTGGACCTACGACTATTTATTCATTTGCAAGCCTTTCAACATTTCCTAATATCAAACCATCTCAAAAAATAAAAAGGCCTATAAAATGACCAAGTGTCTTGTAATAATCATGTTTCGCCATCTGATTTCACACTTGCATGACAAAAGTAACTAAAATTGATGATGACTGCGATGATTACAGTTCAAAATATTTTTTATTTATAAATATATTAAAATAATATTTTTTATTTTTAAAAAATTATTTTTAAAATTAATATACCAAAACAATAAGAAAATATTAAAAAATATATAAAATTAAAGGAAAACGGTTTGCAAACAGACCCTAAGTATCTTCAACATGGATTTCATCAAGTTGGAGCGCGGCAGCAGGAACAGGCAATGCATAAAGGTCTGAGTACAAAACCATTTATATGTATAATCTCCATACAGGTTGGCTATAAATGTAATGTAAGGATCAAAATCGAGCCTTCCGTTTTCGACCAGTGTATCTTGTGTCGGGAGGCACTGCGTTTCCTTTTCGTCTCAGTTGATCTTTCTTTCTAAATATCCAATCTTTGCCCTTCCCTTTCCTGGTTATTTTCTGTTTTTTCTTAGGTCTGTTCCTGTCTGAAATGCAAACCTGCATTCTCAAGGTACATGCATATATAATAATTATTAGTGATTTGAAGAATCCAAATTGAAAAGAAAAGGATACCATGCTTACAAACAACCCAGTTAAAGCTTGAAAAGAACAAAAAAAAATGCGAGACAAAGCAACCCACTGTCTGATTTTCTTCACTACTTTCATCTTCAGAGTAGCTTTCTCCATCTTCGCCTCCCCCCCTCGGAACAGCAGTGCTTGTAGATGGTACTCCACAAGTAAGCACGAGGTATTCTTTTCTACTCTTGGTACTGTGACAAAAAAATTGTTCAGTCAGTGAATGGTGAAACTCTGAAGAGGACTATGAAACCAGAGGATAATTAATTGCAAGATTCTTTTTTTTTGCTTCTTTTGACTTGGAAGGAAATTACATATCAGAAGGTAAACTTCATTGATAAAGAGAGAACAGGGTTAATACACTTGCATGATAAAACAAAGAATTAGCAGACAGTATCTAGCACATCAAGCTCTCAAGGTTTAGATTCTTGAAAAGCTTGCAACATTTTATGTGCAAGCTTTTATTCCCAACCAGAAAATTCAAGTTACGGGTTGGAAAGGACTGATGATATTAAAGCCCAACGAAAAACACATATTCGACAAATAATATTTGTCATAACCCATTTTTGAGCCCCCCGTAAAAAAAATACAAAAAATATAAAAAAATCAAAAAATATATTATCATAAAATATAAACAGTGAACCTGGCCGTGATGCCGCACACGTGCAACAATATTTATGAGTTTACCAGACATGAAAAACGCAACATGAGAGTTCTAAATAGAAGCCTAGCATACCTGTGTGGGTAATCAATAACGACACCACCAGCAAATCCAGCATGCATTGCAGATCTCAAAATTAATTCACGCTGGGCTATGTTTTCAGGATACACTTGGAACACTGCTCTTGCTCCTCTTGCCAAACATCTATATAATGATCCAAAGAAAGCCCTACCATAAAATTGAATCCCAAAACAGATTGAGTGCTGACAGACTACATAAACCTAAAGCAAAAAAAAAGAAAAGAGAAGGAACTTACTTCAATCTTAGTTTTGGTTCGTGGGAGGACTTATCTGCATTGCACAGCCACTGGGAGACAAATCAAAAGAATAAAATGAGGAAAAGCCACTCACTAGAGTGATATAAAACTTAACATTTAAAAAACAACCCGTACAATGGATGTGAAAGAAAAGAAGACGAGGAAAGCAATTGTGTGAAGTTTGACAATTCAATTGGAAACAGATGTTGAGGTTTATATATTAGAAAACTAAACATCAAAGCAGCAAATCAAATTTGGTTAGTGATTTTGACTGGAAAACCATAGACCCCTAATCTCAATATCATAACATTTCTAAAACATCCTCCCCGAAATCTCTTTATTGCTCATCCAACTTCACAAAGATTAATTGTTAATTGTACATCTGATTAAAAAATTTCTGTCATCTAGAAAGGTCCACCTCTCTATCTTAATTTACTGTTTCTATAAAGATCTTGGTACAAGAAAAAGCTAACATGTAAGCAAGCTTTGCTAGGCCTTAGCTGAAGTAATAAATGGGTCGCGTTAGGGAAGAAAGATAAGTTCAGACCTTACAACCAAAATGCAAATTTAACTGTCCATTAAACCTTTTGCCTTGAAAAACTGCGATCTTGTGTTTTTTAAGGACCTTCCCTTAAAAAGTAATTCATAAATAGACATTTTTGTTTCCTTTAATAAAAGACATGATCATCAAAGAACACAAGGAAAATGCAGGGAAGCCTCTACTTAACTAAAATAATTCAAATAGGTGGAACATCAGAAGATGATTGACTACAGGAAGCAGAGTAAGAATTAAAAGGGAAGATGACTGACTACAGGAAGCAGAGTAAGAATTAAAAGAGGTTCATTGAAAATAATGAATCACATAAATTAAGGAAATGATTTTTTTGGACAAGTTCTAACACAAAACACTTGCATACATGCATAAATGTCTACAGCACACAAGAGAGTACAACCTGAACAGCTGAAATACTGATGGCGCCATCAATAATTCCAGGTCGAAGTGCTAGGCCCTGCAACATAAGCGTAAGCATTTCAGCAATAACTAATAACTTAAAACCTATTTTGCAAGTTTAATGCATTTTCTATCGTAATAACAATGAAAAAAAGACTTATACTGAAATTTCACATATCATAACTGCACAGGGCATTAAGTATTGAACCTAAAGTGAAATAAACTAGAAGATTGCATAACTTTGCTTCAGTAATTAATGTTTAGCTCATCAAACTTATCCCACCCATAAGGTCACAAAGGCACAAAACTGGCATCCTGCTAAATAAATTTTTTTAAAAAAGTTATGTTGGCCAAGAAATTGTATTTTTCCCAACAGCCTTGATTCGCCTTCTTTTTTTTTTATTGTGTTGTGGAGCATATAAAATAAAACTGAATCTTAGTTGGATACCTGACCCATATCACCAAGTAAAAGATCACCCTCAACCTCCCGCTCCAAAGCAATATCTAGATTTTACAAGAAAAATGTTAAAAGTTCCTATATGCAAAATAACCTAACATGAACCTCTGATGAAATATCACAAAATTGAACAAACTCAAGCAGACATACTAAGCATTGATTGCGAAACATCTAAGCCGATCCATTGGTGACCATTTTCAGTTAATGTCTCCCCACTAAGGCCTGATCCACAGCCTGTAAAGGCCAGAACAATTACAGTAAGCATTTAAAAACTTTAGAACAGAATTCTGCACACAGACAGAAAAATTAACAAAAAAAAATGTTATGTAACAAGTATCAGGAATTCAAGGTTTAAAACAACAAAAGTTTGACGTATAAATAGCTAATGTCCCGCACAGACATATTAAAAGGATAAACAGCACAGCTACAAAACAAAATAGCTATTTTCTAACTGGTAAACAAATCATAAGCCATAAATTAATCACATTTACAAACAGAGAAGAGAGTGGCTTCATGATGTAATTGTGATGGAAATGCAAAATGCAAAATACCAATATCGAGGAGTAATCTAGGGATTCCATCAACAGACAAAGCAAGAAGCTCCAACGCTCTTTCTGATAGCCTAGCCTATTAACAACCACACATCATCATCAGGCAACAAAATCATTGAATAAGCATTTAAAAAAATTTCTTAAAAAAAAAAGAGTACCTGAATATCGATAATTCGAGAAGAGGAAGTGTATTTACGAGCCTCTGAATCATCATAAAAAATCTCAGGTGGAGCTAGTAACTCTGGCCGATTCGACATCTCGAGGAACTCAACTCAACTCAGTTTGGTCAACAACTAGGAGATAATTAGGAGCTGAAGAACGTGAATATTGATTGAGAGGCGGCTTAAACCCTGAAAAAAGGTTTTTTTCTGTCTTAGAGTGAGGGAAAAGCCCTAGACAGCTGCGCGCGGACCTCTGTTTTCAGTTTAATTAGAGAGATGGGATATGCAGGTCATGATAAAACAGACAATGTCGGTCACTTCTAATGACGTCCAAGTCATAGCCCGAGCCCCAGCCCGAGCCTAAAAACAATATTGTTCTCCAATTTTCTATTTTCCATTTTTATTTTTCATAACATTTTAATTGGGCATGGAGTTATTTTCAGTGTTTGAATTTTGTTGATTTGAATTTTTTATCTTTATTTTTTAATAAATAAATTCTTCAGCTTCTTAAAATTAAACAATTAAGTGTGAAACGGAATCTGTTAAGTTTCACTCTATTTGTCTTTTTATTTATGACATCACATGTTCATTAGAATTTACGAGCCTCTGGAAGTGGTTGTTGAAAATGCGTCTGTTTCTTTCCTGCCGGGGAGAACATACCGTGGTTGACAGAAAAAGGCAGGCGATGAGGTGGTTGATATCCTTCCCTTTTCGATAAGTTGATGTTGCCCAGAGAAGGAGCTGATGCCAAAGGCTGGTAGGCCATTGGATGTGAGCTCTTATGCTGCCTGTTTCCCATGCGTTGCTGAAGTAGGAGCATTGAAAAAATAAGTGGTCATGCGTCTCATTGTGCATTCCAGAGAGGATGCAGGTTCTGCTTGCTATTATCCCAGCCATGTTTGGGTTTATGTCACACACACGTATCCGTGTTTCTTCCCGTAAATGATCATTGAGATCTTGATTTGCTCTGCGCTTGATACTACTTATACCATCCACAATACTGGAAGCAACATCTCATTCAATTAAGAAGTTCAAACTCAACCATCTAGGTGATGGTCAAGTGGTAAGGATTTGGGATCAAGGGGTTTGCTCCTTCTGTGGTCTCAGGTTCGAGTCCTTGGTTGCTCATATGATGGCCACTGGAGGCTTACATAACAACCATATTGAATGGCTCATTTTCAGTAACGCGTATCTTGTATTATTCATACATTCATTATTTCATTTTAATAATTATAACCAAAATTCAACATAAATCATATATTTCTCAATTTATTATGGCAATTGAAAAACCATGCCTTATCTTAATTAATCCTGAAATTCTATTACCCCACCTCGAAGACAATTCAAATCTTGGAATTTCTCATATGATAGCCACTGGAGGCTTACATGGTCGTTAACTTCAGGGCCCGTGGGATTAGTCGTGGTGCGCGCAAGCTGGCCCGGACACCCACGTTAATCTAAAAAAAAAAGAAGTTCAAACTCAAAGTGAAAAAGTACGGAATACTTTTCCAGGATGCTTAGGATGGCCTCTCTGAGCTCTAGTTTCCGATTTCACCTAGAGTGTAGTGCTCATGGTATAAGCCACCTGGCTTTTGCAGATGATATCATTTTGCTCTCTAGGGGAGATACGCAGTCTGTCTTCTATTTATTTTAGCAGCTCATATTATTTGGACACATTTCTGGGTTGGCTATAAACAAAGAAAAATCTCCAATGTATTTTGGCAGAGTTAGAGGGCAGGTCAAACATGTTATTCTTTAGGATACGGGCTTTGTTTAAGGCTCCTTCCCCTTCCGATATCTTGGTGTTCCTCTCAGCCCTCATAAGCTACTAGCTAGCCAATTCTCTTCTTTATTGCACAAGTTGGAATCAACAGTTTAGTGCTGGCTAAGAAAGCATCTTAGCTGTGTTGGGCGAGTCGAGTTGATCAAATCAGTTCTTTACCGCATGGTGCACTTTTGGCTAAGCATTTTTCCCTTGCGAGACATAGTTATGCAGATTGTTTGCATCTATAGAAATTTTTTATGAACTGGCAATATTTTGAAGAGTAAATCTGCCCTAGTTGCTTGGAAAGTTGTCTGTCTTCCCAAGAAAAAAAGAGGGCTTAGGTTTGTTTGATATTAAAACTCGCAACAAATATTTCATTATTATCTTCTCAATGCCTCTGTCTGGGATGCTTTATTTCTACGAACCTCTTTGCCAATATAGAAGTCTATTATCTCTTTTAAGGACCAGTTTGTTGTAGACTGTGATGGTCAGCACCAAGCTATTGCATTGATGACTACTTGGAGTAGTGGAGAACTTCATTTTACTACTCAATCCTATGATATCTTGCGTTTCAAATGTAATCTAGTACCTCGGGCTAAGGTGGTTTGGGAAACTTGACCTTTGCCCAAATATAATTTCATTTTGTGGCTGGCGTTTAAGGGGAAGCTTCACACTTGTGACAGACTTTGTTTCTTGGATAGACATTTTATGTGTTTTCTTCTGGCTTGATGAAGAGATTCACAATCATTTATTTTTCAGCTATCCTCGGACTTCTCCACTTTGGAGGATGGCAAAATCATGGCTTCAACTACAAAAAAGCATGTCAACCATTAATAATGCAATCCATGGCTTTTTTTTCTAGCATAAACAATTTTGTTGGCAAAATGCGTAGAGTTTCCCTTGGTATTTTCATCTACTTGATTTGGGAAGAGAGAAACAAGAGGGTATTTGATAATTCTTGCACTCCTATTTCTCTTGTTTTTCATAAATTTTAGATTCTCATCTATATGGCTTGTATTTTCATGAATAAATTATCTTTCAGGGTAGTTGTTGTTTTATTTGTTAGGGCTATTAATGTTCTTTTGCTGCTAGTGATGGTTTCTCTCAAATGGGGTTGCAGTGTTGGTTAGATGCTATCCATCTTTCGGTTATGGTTGCTTGTGATATCTTGTTTACTGACTTGCTAGATGGTTGTATTAATGGAGGGTTTGTGCGATATCATATCAAAATTTTGGTTGCATGCTTTGATTGTATGATATGGTTGGTGATGCCTTTTGCTTTAATTTTTGTTGTATATTAGGTGGGGCACCTTGTCTTTGATTTGGTTCATCTTCAAACCATGGTTAGCTAACTCATTCAGCTGTTTGTAATTCGTTTGACTTTGTTGTATATGTTTTACCAAAAAGTTTGTTATCCAGCCTTATATATATATTTTATATGCTATATTTACTTACATTTTGATCAAAAAAAGAATTTCAAACTCAGGATCTTATAACTCATAAAAACCATGAGATAATAATGAAAAAACAAGAAGACGAAGAAGATACCAACTATCATTTTTAGTTGAACAATTTGCTAGATAGAAGTAGAGCGTGCTTGTTTAGAATGGTTCTCCGAAAAGAGTTTTCCAAGGAATTATATTAGCAAATCGAGACCAAAGAAAGACATGGCATTTTGGTTTCTAGATTTGTATGGATAAAACCTGGAAACAATTTGAGATTAAATAACTGGAGACATTATCCTTGTAGATTTGCAGCTAAACCAGTTAGCCACTTGTTTTTACACCACAATTAAATAAGAGAGTTACACAAGAAATGTATGGGCTCTGGAGAGACAAGATACCACATAGTTGTGTTTTACATGATTTACAGATAGTTGTGTTTAATCATAAGGTAATAGAAATAGTTATTTTTAAAACTATTTTGAAAAAAAATAATTTTTAATATTATTATATCAAAACACCTCAGACTTGCATAATTATTAACTTTAAAACCTCAAAGAATTAATCAAGATGTATATAAACTAATTCCAATACCTATAAATTAAAAAATTAAAAAAAAAGCTAAAAAAGAAATGCAATAAGAAAAAAAAAAAGAAGAAGATGGTTATCATAGATTACTCAAGAACCTACCAAAGCTAGTGGCATGTGAATTGATTAGTACTTAAAAGTGCATTTTTATCATGGTTTTATATCATCATTTTGCACTTGAAGTATCAATAACTCCTTAACTAAAACATGTTTTATAATAATATATCTAATAACATAAGATACCTTTAATTTATGGTAAATGTTCATTTTAAATGCAGGCCTATCACATAAATGAAAGGATTGATTGATGACTTGAAGAACTTAAATTGCAAGGATAAAGAGATGGCCAAACTTAGAAAAGAGATGTCGGTGCAATCCAAACCGGAACACTGTTCGGTAAATGGGTCATATCTGGAGCTATATATCTCAGATTTAGGTCCAATTTATATGGATGGAAAGGTAAGACATAGGCCTACAACTTTCATATGGAGCCCAAGATCTAAAAAGGCCATTATCAAGTCCAAATTGTAGCAACAACAAAGAAGCCCGAATCTGTCTTCCAGCCCGAGCACTGTTCGGTATTTTGGCCATATCTGGAGTTCTAGAAGTCCAAATGAGCTGAAGTTTTTACACAAGAAAGCTGAGACAATTGCCTACAACTTTCATGTTTGCAACTGGCTCCAATTTTGACGTTATCAATGACGTTTTGGGCAGACAAGAGAAGATAAAGATTGTCACCAAGTCAAAAGTTGGCCACCCACTTATCAATTAGTCATCAAATCAATAGTTCCCATTTTTGGCCTATAAAAGGAGGCATTTGCCATGCATTTAGGCATCTTGGTGTTCAGATCAAGATCATGCTCTTCCTTTCTCTCTTTGTATTTTTTATGCTTTGTTTTCATTAATATTAAGTTTATGCCTTTCATTTCCTTTCCTTTACTTAGTTAACTTTTATGTTCTTATTTTGTTTATCTATTTTGCTTTCTTTCATTATGTCTAGCTAAGTTAATTATGTCAAGGTGAAAAGGTTACACTAATGGTGTAAGAATAAGTATAATGTAAACTTAATATGGACTTTAATGTTTGATACTAACATGTTTTATATTTGTTATCTTGTTCACTCTTTAATACTTTGCTTGTTAAATAACTAATCTTGATTTATGTTGTATAACACTTGGTACAACAAATGCTTGGCACTTTCATAGCCCATAATGTATGGTATAACCGACACCTGAGCTATGAAAGGAACTTGATTTATTGTTAACATAAGTTATAATCATGAATTATAATTTGTACAATTAACCTCCATGTGGTTCGACCCTGGTCTTGCCGGGTTATTTATTACTTCGACACTCCTGCACTTGGGAGAAGACATCAATCTTTTAGTCGTGTCATGAATGCAATAGAGAAGTGGATGATAGCATGGGCAAGAATTTGCTCTCCAACTTCCTGCTAGCCAATCTCAACGCCATTACTGCCACTCAAACTCACACACACTCAAAAT